AGCTTAATAATATAATTATAATACTAAGTACTCTATATAAAGAGTTAAACTAAATAGAAATAAATAACCTTATTAACTAAGGAGTCTTTACCTTTGTATTATATAATCTAAAAAAGCATAACTACCTTTATATTTATAAGACATAAATAATATAAAAGATTAAGAACTTATTATTTAAGCTATATAAGAAATTAAGACTTATTATATAAAAGTATAAAGACTAGAAAAAAGAAGAACTCTTAACTTAAGCACCTATTATCTAATAGATAAGCTAAAGGCTTATACTTATAATTAGACTTACTCTTATATAAGACTATAAATACAAAAAAGAACTCAGAGACATAACTTAGGTATATACATAGTTAAATAATCATCTAACTAAAACAATTATTACATAACTACCTAAAAAGTTAAAAAACAAATACCCTAAGAATACACTTCTTTATATCTTAAAACTACTATATAGCCTAATAAAATCAGGCCTATACTAGTACAAAACCTATTCTAAGCATCACAAGAAAGATCTAAAAATAACAAAGTTAATATATAATTTATACTTATTATATACAACAAAAGAACCAAATACCTTTAGGATTATAGCTATATAAACAAATAATACACTTAGCTTTACTACACCTACCTTCTCCTAGAAAGAAGAAGAAGAGCTAAAAAGAAAAGGACTTTATATAAAACTAAAGACCACCTTATTACCTAATAGTAAAATTAACTTTAATAAAGGAAAGATTTAATCGTATAATAACTATATTACTTTTACTTAAAAAAGCTAAATAAAGCACCTAAAACTCATTAATCCTGATATACATAATACATATTAGTAGTATATTTTTTAAAGGGCAAGAAAAGCATACCTCACATTTATCTATTAACTAGAGGCATTATATAACCTATTAACTATAGCCTAAACTAAAGAACCTGATAAGAAGAATATTAAAGCTTTAAATATATAACTTTAGTAGTAAATCAATAACCCTACATAAGGCCTTACATATATCCCTCTTAATCTCTATTATACAAAAATATATATCTTTATAGATAAATCATTTATAAATAACTTAGATCTATCGTTATAACTTAGATTTATTATTATACTAGCTAAAAAAATAGCTTATATAACAACAAACTTCTAGATTAAAGGAAACATTATATATTAAAGTTTAACAAAATACAAGAGAGTCATATAAAGTATACTTATAAGCAAATTATATAGGATAACTACAGGATTTAATAATAAGATATCCCTTAATATAACACTTACTAAGATCCTTTATATATTATAACTCTTAAAAATTCTAGTTATTATCTATTTAGACTTATAATCTTTATATAAGTACCTTATATAACTAAATATAATAAATAAAAAAAGGCTTATAATTAATATTATAAGTCTATATAAGTTATATAAAAAAAAAGAGATCTTAGAAGTAAGATAAATTAATAAAAAAAATAACTTTACTAACGCCTTTACTAAGAAATCACTAAACTTAACATTTAAATAATTAATTATAATAAACATATTAAAGATTTAAATTAAAGTATATATTAAAAGATTAAGAGAAAATACTTAATAATTAATTTATATAACCTTATTACTATATATTACTAATTATCTAAAAATAAAGTATAACCTTAAAAAAGTATCTAATATACTTAACTACTACTAATACTAATCTTAATATTAAATTATACCTCTACTATATCTATAACCTTCTTAAATTACTATATTATATAATCTATTTAATTATTATATAAGATTTTAAGAAAAAGAAGTTATATAATTACTCCTTATTAATAACCATAAGGCTAACAGAAGTGCCAAGAAAGTGATTACCCTTGCTGATGTTCTTACTAAGCTTACTGCCAGGTATATAAGGCTTATAAGCATTAGTGATATTAAGAGCCTTGTAGTTGCTAAGGCCACTGTTATTATTATTATTATTATTGCCCAGGTTGTTAGACGAATCAATATCTTAACTATAGTAGGTATAATAAGCGCTATGCAACTACTAGACGCACTTAGCGTAGGCGCTACCCTGAAAGGTGAGAATATAGGTATATTAGTAGAAGCATAAGGAGTTAGTAGTTACGCATTTATTACTATAAGTAATAGCTATATAACCATAAGACTAAACTAAGACTACAAGGAAGTAGCCTTAGTAGCAAATAATACTAGTAATAAACTGCTGAATAGAAGTGTTACTAGTGATATAAATCTTAATATTACGTAATAGTATATTAATAATAAGACGCTCCTTATTCTACAATTAAGGTTAATATATAAAAACAAAGTAAAAACAAAAGTAATATATATTAATAGCTAAAGCTAACAAAAGAGTGTAATTATTAGCGTTACTAGTTAAAAAATAAAGCTAATAACTATTAAATATATTAATATATATACTAATATTACTAAAGATTAAACTACTAAGAGTAATAAGAAATATAATAAATTAATTATATAAAGTACTATTAATAAATTAGTAAAAGGAAATATATAAAAAGAAATCTTATATATAAGTAGTTATTATTAAAGTTAATTAAAAAAAAAAAAAATTATTATTAATTAATTATATAAAAAAATAATATATATAAAAAATAAAAAATAAAAATAAAAAAAAAAATTAAATAAAAAAAGTTTTAAATAACTAAAATTACTATATAAAAAAAAAAAAGTATATTAATAATAAAAGTAAAAGTAAAGTTAATAAAGAAAAAAGAAACTTTACTAATATATAACTTATCTACTTAACTAAGTAAGAAGGAAATAAATAGTTACTTAGAGTTTTAATATTAGTAATTTATTATATAACACAAATAGCTTAACCTATAAGGTTATACAATAAGGTTATTAATATTATAATTAGTATAACCTAATTAGACATTATAAGAAGTTATATAGTCATAAAAGAAAAAGTTATAAGTATTAGAATAATAGTACTAGCTGATTATATAATACGCATGACTTAAGGATACATATTATAGCAGAGGGCATAGACTGGATATTTAGCCCTTAGTTATCTATTAAGGGGATTAAAAGTATATTTATACTAAACTAACTTAGGGATATATAAGATCATATATCTTATATATAAAAGCTAAGTCTTATAGTTAAGAAGATAATTACAGAAAATATATCTTTGGTTTACTTTAACTTTAACCTAAGTACAATCATACAAACAGGTTCTCTTAGAAAGAGAGAATCCATTCAACAATTATTCTTAGTTAATATAATAAAATAACTTATTAAAGTTATATAAATATTAGGCCTTTTTTTATAGTACTTTATTACTAATAAGTTTTCTTATAAAATACTAATTAAAATTATTATATAGTTATTTAGGTTTTTAACTAAAAAGCTTATTATTTTATTTTAAATAATTTCTATAAGTTTATAAGTTACTTAAAATAAAGTAATTTTATATAATATTACTCTTAGAAAAGTTCTTAAAGTAAAGGTACCTTAGACTTCTAATAAGTTTAAGATTTTTATATAAAAATAAAAATTTTATTATTTTATTAACTAAATAAATAAGTTAATACTTAAAGCTATTTAATTTAATAAAACTAAATATTTTTTTTAAATAATAGTTTAATTAAATAAGTTACTTAATATATATTATTACTTAAAAATCTTAAATATTAAGTAAAATATTATTTAGTTTTATATTAAAGCTTTTATTTAAGTTAACTTAAAAAATAATTTAATAATTAATATTTTTACTTATATATTAATTATATTAAATACCTTTTTTTATTATTTCTAAATAACTTCTTTTATATTAATATTTAAAATATATATTTAATATATAACCTTAATATTTAAATTAGTTATTATTAAAAAAAGTTTATTATTAGTTTATTTAAGATTTATATTAATAATAAATTTATTAAAAGTAAAAATCCTTAAAATATTTAAAATCTTATTAAAATATTTAAATTTTTTTTTTATTTATTTAAGTCTATTTAAGTTAATAAATTCTTAAATATACTTTAATTTTACTTTAAGCTAAAGAGTTATATACTATAAAAGCTAATTACTTTACGTCTTAAGTTTCCTTATAGCCTTAATAAAAATAAATATATTAAAGATATTAGTTTAAGAAAATAAAAATAATTTATTTAAAAAAGATTTTTTAGCTTATAATATACTCTAAATATAGTAGTTTAAAGGTATAATATAAACTAGGCTTATAACTATTATAGAATCACTACTTAGGGTAAAAAAGACATAAGGAAAACGGCTTAGATTTCTATGTATAGGATTACCTTGTCCAAAACAAATAAATACGTATTCTGCATGGTGGATCCGCACAAAGGGACCAGACTAATAGTTAATCCGGGCCCGGCGCAAATCTCACAAGGCTGCGCGATGTGCGTGAGGGCATCGCGACAGCTAGAAACTGGGCAGAGACATGACGTGGTCAAGACTGAAGTTCTCTACGACTCGATCCCTCCAATCACAATCTTTTTTCTGTAGGAAACGTAAGTTGGGAATCTAAAAGCTCGTTATCCGTCGTAAGCAGCCAAATCACACGAAACTCTTCTGGCCGAAGTACAGTAGTTGAGCATCAAATTATGCATTTATGGCAAGGTATTTGCACTCTTGCAGGCTAGTTGCTTCAACAGTCCGGTGTCGTTGGCTGAATGAAAGCACGGTCAACTACCACCAGACCCGAGAAAGATCTAAATGCACTGCTGGCGCTATCACAATCAGCGATCGGAGCATACAGCCCATTTCATAACTTATTTTGCATCAGGAGAAAACAGATTTTGCAGTATTTGTCTCCTATTAATCAGATAACATAGCTCATCACGGTGTGCTCAATGCACCGACACTGACTATGGGGGAAATAGCAGGAGCTCAACACAATACAACACTACCTCCCAGGCTTCCATGCAACGCTTTCATGTTAGTTCCTAACAACGCATTTTCTTCAAACCAACACCGTGTCATCCAGCAACGACGGCTAAAACCCAAACTCTCAAGCAGGAGTACACTGCGCGTACCAAGGATTGACTGTAGAGCATCGAGCCCCAGGGACACAAGCAGTCGCGCTCTGTTCCGGCCAGTCTCTTCCGCCACACTGTCCATAGAGTGATTGCAATCCCACTGGTACTGAAGCAGGGGTGCACTGCGCATAGTACGGGTTCACTGTAGAGCAAGCAGCGTACGCCGGACACTTGGTAGGACCCAGGTAGTTTGAGCCACCACACTGGCCATATAACACCTGAGTAGGCTCATCAGACGGAAGTGCCGTGGTAGTCAGTGTTTGGAGTGTTGTAGGCGCTGAGGACTGAGAGGGTGCTGTCGTGCTGCTGGGTGCGATGTTGTCGCGAGTGCTGGTGGTGCGTGTGGCCGTAATGGTGCTGGTCAAGCGGATAGTGGTGATGGTCTCAACTGCTGTAGAGGACGAGCTTTCTATATCAGAAGACGGGCTGAAGGCAACCGTGTTGCTTGAAGAAGCGGCAAGAATGCTGGTTGACGATACAACACGAGTTGTGCCGTAAGGGGTAGCGCTGCCGGATGCGGTAATCTGAATCCGGGACTGTGAGAGCATGGAGACACCCCCAGAGATGATGGCATCTCCCGGAACCACGTAGTCATTGAGATTATCGCGGTAGATGTTGTACAGAATACCGGGATCGTTGGCCTTGTAGAGAGCAGTGCCAAGAGTGCCAGGGGGTTATACGTGCCCTCGCCTGTGATCTCGAGATTGATGCACTGCGGATAGCTCTGAGCACCGTTCTGCTGGCCGGCACTGTGGAGAGCAATGATATCGTGACGAAGAACGTAGTGACCAGGGGCAATGTTGGGTGGGATGCGAACGAGCCAGGCGTTACCGTTCTCGATGAGAACGCTGGCCGCCCAGCGGTTAGTACGCTGAGGAGGATCAATCAAACCGGCGCCGTCAATCTTGAAGAATAGCAGATCAGTCTTATCGGCAAGGTTACAGGGGCCGTTGCAGTTAGCAAGCCAGTTGATAACAGGGCCCTTATGACTATCAGGCCACTCGGTCCACTGCAGCTGGATTGTATCACCGGCAGCGACTGTAATGCGGCCCTTCCCTGCGACGGCTTGTCTGTGACAGATTATATCCGGTGCGTTGTAGGCATCCGGCGCGACGAACCCGTTGTCACGCTGGTCAATCGTCCATCCGGCCACGAGGGGCGGGTTGTTGGTATATGGATCCTGGACCGGAATGTAGTTGCGGTAAGAAACGCCGTTAATAACGATGTTTGTGACGTGACCGTGTGCGGCAACCTTTGCGGCAGAGGCCAAGGCAACCATGAGACCATATATCTTTCGGCAGCCCATGTTTGTGAAAGGGGAAAAAGAGTGGCGCGACGTTGAAAAGAAAACGTCTATAACGAGAAGTGGTCAGCGAAGGAAAAGAACAAGTGAGTGAACGATAGTGAAACCGTAGAGAGTGACGCTGGTTCTGTCGAAAGTGTCTCCTCAGTGAGGCATTGGTCTTCACGATTTATACTCAACGTATGTGTACCCACGTACGATCTGTAGTTGTAAAAGATTGAGCTAGGGATAGAGTGAGCACAACATTCCAACCGTCGGCATCTCCCCTCATGGTCTTATATTTGCGAGAGGGAGACAAAACCTGACCGTTGCCTCCCTAGCTGACAAGACTGAATCATGGCTAGAACGCCATGTCTGCTCTAGACAGGTACGTGAGCATATCCGCGAGACCCGTATTTTCCTGTGTCGCCGTCTAGGTAGTATCCCGCCGGAACCAGATGTAGCATGAAGCCGTAGGACACGCTACTGCAACAAACTGGCGTTCGCCTCTCAGCCTCACGGCAAAGTATGCCATTGGTGAAATCGACTACTAACAGAGCTTATCCTTATTTCGCAACCGGAGCGCGGTGGCTTCTACTTACGGAATAGGCGCCACGGCTTGAGCATGGCGTTTAGATTGGCTTGCTTCCATGGAACTGCGTCGGAATCTTTTGAGAAAGGTTACTTAGGTCACCAGGGCGCGGATTTTGAAGAATGTTTCTAGGCAATAGAGAAAGAAGGAAAGGCTACAAAGCGGGCACACAGAAGGCAACTATCATCCGAGCGGATGTCGCTGAGTCGCAAAAAGGTCAGTCACCGCAGGCTTTAGACCTTGTCCTCTTAGTAATCCGACCCTGATATTCGGGACGGTCGACTCAATAGGGCAGCGGTTTTGACGGATTCGAGTGAGTGAGTCAGGTAATGAACAGCTAGATGCGCCGTCAGCCTGTGTACTCGCTGGGTAGTGCGCTTTCCCAGCAGTCTAACCCCCTGCAGATTCGATAGCGTGAGGACATGTAACCATGTGTCTCAACGTCGCACCCTCCAGCAACACCTGGGATGCAGCCGCCAAGTTTCTCAGGTCCGTAGAGACAACTTGGCAGGGCAGCGTCAAAAGGAGGATTTTCTTGGTGAACCCCAAGCAGGCAGTGGTCAGCGCGTTGCAAATACTAAGGCATCCACGGTAGGCAAGAAGCCACAACTGACGGCTGCTGTATCACATCGTAGACAAATTTGTTCCTGGTGATTACATCAAGGTATAGAGACTTTGACTGGCGGAAATGATTGAACCTACTACAAATAAATATGACACGCGAGGGCCACGTGAATGACATGAAACTAGTAATTAGTGACGGCAAACCACCCAGAGCTTCACAGATTGTAGAGGCATGAGCCAATATTTTCAAGCCGAATCGATAGACTACTACAGCATGCGTGCACCGCAAGAAGGCTTTTCATCTGTCCCCCATGTCGCAAGTTAAGTAAATTGCACCCAAAGGTATCTTTCTGGCTAACCAGAATTACGACAGAGGCTGAAATCAAACTCACCGATGTTAGTAAGCTCAGGCTAGGCATGCTCAAGGAGGCGTGGTTTCAAGACTCGACAAGGCAGGTCAACTTGGCAAAGACTTGTGTGTCGGAGGGATTTTTATTGTACAAACAAACTCGTACGCAAGGCCGCAGACCTGGGAGGATACTCAACAAAGGTGGCTTCCCCGCCCACAGTCTAGAGGGCCCAGAAGACGAAAAGCTGGACGCTTTCATCCTAAGAATGGTCCAGCCATGCCTGGTCAGTTCTCAGGCTACCTGGATCAAGGTCTGGTCAGAACTAGTCCTGCCAAAAGCCACTTCGGACCAAAAAGACTCCAAAAAACAAGTATGATGCACACAAAATCCGGCAACGGACTCTATCCATAAACCTTGTTCCACGTGCTTACACTCAAGCGAGAGCTACAGAAGCGTGTGTCTAATATACCTGCCAGGCGGTATTTCTTGCCTGGGGAGCGGGAAGCGCGAAGGCGGCACCGAACGGAAGGACGGCTAGACACGCGGAAGCGAGACCTCAGAAAAGGTTACTGACGAAAGCGTTGCTGCCATCAGGGCTGGCTCACACTGACGTATGTCGTAGAGGTGCTCATAAGCCAGGGAGCACGTTAGCGATGTTCCCCTTGACAAGGAACGAGGCGTTGGGACAGCTGCAAGGTTGACGTCTGCGCGCTGTATCGCCCTTGAATAGACGGCGATGGCGGGAAAAGGTGAGATGTCTCGTCTGGAGGGATAGAATAGGTATCCAAGAGGGCCTTGTCCTACCACTTTGGTGTCTGATGTGAGAGACATGTCTCAGGCGTCGATGATGGCGACGTGAAGAAGCATAAGAGGCATGAGGACTGCCATGCAAGCGTGCCGCACCGTCGACCGCGCGACAGCCAGGGCAACATGCTTGAGGATGATGCAGGCGAGGAGTACGGCTCTGAAAACCGAACTGACGCCGAATATAGAAGTGCGCGGCATAGTTGTTGGTAAAGGGTGGCAAAACGTTTGTCAGGAAGCAGTATCAAGTGAAGTGAGATGTGTCTCTTTTGACAGAATCATTTACGGAAAGGACAAGGCCGCATCGATGCCCTTTTGAAGTATTGTCTCATCAATCGGATGGAGGTGTCCCTTTTCGGCCCCCATCAAATCCCCTTTCACGGCCCCCCATCTACGAAAAGCGAGGCAAGATAACAGACCTCAATCGGCTCCCGGCTACGATGCGAGTCACTTCTAGCTCCTCCAGCTATTGTTTACGCCCCCTTAGGATTCTCAGGTGATGGGTAAAACAGGCTTGCAGCCTGCAGCCTGATTATTACCTGTAGAAAGCCTCGGCGTGGAGAGCGTATGTAGCACTCCAGCTTCCATGGCCCAGGCCCAGCAGATCCTGAAGATATTTTTACACGTCATCACCAGCCATGATGTGGAAAAAAAAACATGGACCAAGGCTTCTCGAGTGCCTAATTCCGTAGATGAACTGTGCCGCAACAAGGCCCCTGGTGCTACTGACAGCTGCATCCTTCACGCAGGCACCCATCGCACTAGGCTGGTTGGGCTCGGTTGGCTCCCCCTCAACCAAGTTTCCGAGTCGTACGAAGAAAACCCGAGCGAAAACCTTACAATACGGACGTATTGTAGATGTGATTAGAGGGGTGACACGGCCTTCGCGGCTGGCGCGAGGACCTGACTTTTGGAAGTGTGACGAAGGCAACTAATCTCGACGCAAATATTTCTATTAAGGGTATGGCTCAGCGTCCTGCAGGCTTTGAATTGGTATTACGGACGTAAAAGAGCTACAGTACAGCGTCTTGAGGGGTTGATTGCAGTTGGTTGCAATTTGTACAGTTGAAATTTGAAGAAGGATGTCATACCGTATCTCATCATGATCGTAGAGGAGAGAGTTGTTCGGGACTGTGAAAATTTCCCCCAAAACGCCTGTGAATCCCGCATCCCAAGGTACACACTTCTAGTACAACAGTCGAACTACAGTAGTCTCTTTCCGGTTTGTTTCGCCCTCGCCCTCGCCCTCGCACTTGGTTGCGATCGAAGTCGGAACGGTCGTTAAATATTGCATGTGTCGGGTTTGCTCGCTTGAAAATCCCTCTTCTAGAACTCGCCCTCGGCACTGTTGCCGATAACGCCCGCTGTCCAGAGTCCAACCAGACCCCACCAGCTGACCTTCCAGCCACGCCATAGACCGTCCAGTCCCTGACCCTTGCGGTGGACTGTTTCTGCGACCTTGGTCTTGGCCTTGCCCTTCTTGGCCGGCGCGGGCTTTGTTGCAATGGCGCGAGACCCCTCCTCGTTCATGATGTAGAACATGGTACCCATGACACCGTGGTAACGACCTGGCGGCACGATGGTCTCCATCTTCTGGTCTTTGCCTGTGAGGGCGCGGACATGCGAGGGGGAAGAAAGGACGGCGACCTGGCCACGTCGGAGGACGGTCTCCAGCGGGAGCTTGACGAAGAGTGCCACTGAGGAAGCGCAGAATTTGGCAACCGAGAAGGTGGTGGGCGACACCCGACTGTCGATAAGGAACCTAGTACGGAGAACCAGTGGTGTTGACAGTGTGAGAATAGGGTGGATAAGCGAGTGAAGGACGGTAGGAACAACAAGCAGCGAGGGACAGACGTAGGAGGGAAGAGCTCGGAGGGTCGACAATGTCCTCCTTGGCTGTTTCGAAGTGGGTGTAACGAGTAGTCTAGGTCAGAGTCAGCACCGTGTTTCAACGGTAAACATACAAGACAATCGGTGACATACCTTGTGCGCACTAGATCCAGAGGTGCGAGAATGAGGCCCGTTGCAACGGCCGCAGCTGCGGCAACGCACAAAGAGGCCCAAGGGTAGGGCGAGGCGATATCAATCAGTCGGTCAATATCTTCCTTGACGCCCAGGTCCGGCACATTGAACAGTGCACTCAGGGCACTTCTCGACCAGTTTTCCAACACTGACGAGAGGACCGAGTAGAGGAAGGTCGCATTCGATCCCTTCCACACACCCCAGGCGCCTTCCTTTTGCCAGAGCTGGCCAATAACTTCCATCAACGAATCGGGCCGCCGAATGGTGAGTTGGTGAGGCGGCACGGGCTGCTTCGCAGCCGGCGTGTGGATAGGGGAAGGGGACTGGCGGTTTCGATGCTCCCTGGGAAACGACGGAGTTGGCGTGCTCGGAGCATTTGAGGTGAAGTAGGCGGGCTCATCGAGATCCGAGTCGGAATCGGCTTCACTGTATACCGCACTCCCGTACTGGGACTGCAACCGCTCCGAGACGGGTGTCGCCAAGGGCGTCGCTGCTGCCGAAGCCGGTGCCGCCAACGTTACGTCGTCATGGCTCCGGACCTGCAAAACCGTCTTTGCAACCTCGAACGGCTGGGCCATCAATACCGATGTGTACTTCCATAGCAGCTCGTCAACGAGGTCCTTGACGGTTTGGACGACAGAAGGGGACGGCTCGCTGATGTAGTCCTTGTAGTCGATGTCAGAGAAGATGTCGCGTGCCTTTGACGCGTACCGCTCGCTCGTCGCATTGCCTGCATGGCGGGCAAAAGGATTGGGCGCGGATGACGCAGACGTCGGGTCAGGAGGCTCTCCTATGGTCGGCGGTTTGTAGTATGGTCTCAAGGGATTGACCCCTTCTCTATGAGTAGCCATGGTGATCGGGTTGGCGGATGTTGCGGCTCAGCTCTCGTGATGCATGATTTCGGGAGCTTTCCACTTTTGCTCCCAATTTTGCATGATGAAATGGAAATCACCTCGGAGATAAGATTAGCGGGGCCCGTCCTTCCCCAAAAGCCATGACGGGACGATGCATGCACCACGCACGCACGACAATTCACTCGACGCGCCTTCCTTGGCGCCAGCAGCTGAAAGCGCCTGGTACGGGCACATACCGGCCAATGGAGTTCATGCTCTGCGCTCTTCCCGCCTAACAGTAAATCGATGGGTCCCGGAGTCGGAACATCACCATTCGCCGGCCGATAAGGCCGAGGGCTGTGGATCTTATCGGAGCTCCCGCAGGCGCGAGAGCCTATAGAAATTTCCCTGAATCCAATGCATCTCCACAGGCCCTTGCACATATATCGAAGCTTTCCAACAACTTTTTGTCATTGCTTTGCAGCGAGCGCCACCCGCGAGGACAGCAAACGAGCAGCACCTTTGGTTGCAGTGATCCAACCTGCTTGTTTCTGCATGCTGCTGATCCGGCCGAAGTGCCCCTGAACTACCCTTCCTATTCCCTGCCATCGGATCCGAACCCACTGCGCCCTTTTTATCGACGGCCTTACCCCGTGGAAAATCCCGGCCGAGAACGGACTCGTACCGAGCAACCATGTCCTCCGCGAGACTCAACACAACCCTATGCAGGGTGGCCGCCAGCGCATGCCAGAAAGCACGCCCGTCGCAATGGCAGAGCCGAGGCATCCACGGCGGGATGGTCACGAAGAGACCTGCGCAGCTCTCTCCCAGACAGATCCAATGGCCCTCGGCCCGCAGCTTCTCGATCTCGGCTATTAAGCCGCATGGCCACATCACCCCTCCGAAGCCCGGTGAAGAGTAAGGCAGTCGATCATGACGTAGCAGCGACCTCGACTGACAAGTTGCTGCAGGCTGTGGGTGACTTTCGTCGACAAAGATGGTGACGAGCACAAGATTGCCGTCAGCGAAGGAGACAACCTGCTGGATATCGCACAAGACAATGACTTGGAGATGGAGGGTACGTGACAGAAGTTGCCCTTGCGGACTAGCACTCGGCGACGTCTGGCTAACTACGGACATTAGGTGCCTGCGGAGGCTCTTGTGCCTGCTCAACATGCCACGTCATTGTCGCCGACGAGGAATACTATGACAAGATGCCCGAGCCCGAAGACGACGAAAACGACATGCTCGACCTGGCCTTTGGCTTGACAGAGACGAGTCGACTCGGTTGTCAGGTCACGATGAAGAAGGAACTAGACGGCCTCAAGGTCAAGCTGCCCTCGATGACGCGGAACCTGCAGGCCAGCGACTTCAAGTAGACGCGAGAGCCCCCAGCATATCGGCGTTGGATGCAGCATGCATCACATTGTTTCAATCATCTGTACTATACTATACATATTTCATGTCAGAAAAAGGTGGCAAGGGGGTCTTCGGAGAAAAAGGGGGGAGTGTTCTTCAATCAAGCGCGGCATCACGGATGGGAATACACTCGGCTCGGCTCGGCTTATGCTAGATATTGGCGGGTATCAAGTGACGGTGGGAGGGAAATAACATCACTCCTCTACGCTTATAATCCTGGACAAAATCGATGTGAACGAGAAGAAAACCGCCAGCCACATCTGGCACTGGCATCCGTCCATTTTGTTCTTGTGCTCAAGCCTCCTCCAATGCGCCCTTCTTCAGCCCTCCGCCGCCGGACGCAATGAGGTCCAAAAATCCCTTCTTGCTCATCTCGTTAATCTTCTCCTCTCTCCTCACCACACCCACCACGCCGTCCTTGCGTGCCTTCTTCTCCGCCTCAGCAGCCTTGACCTGGGCCGCCCGCACGGCATTGAAGAGCTTGACGACACCCCTCTGCGCGACCTTGCGCAGCCGCCTCTCCGTCTCAATCATCTCCCCCGTCGACGTATCCTCCGTCTCGGGCGCCACCAGCACGTTGCGCACGCGGCCCCTCTCCATCGCCTCCTTCTTCTGCTGCCTCATCTGCTTGCGCGCCTTGGACTCGAGCGCCAGGTCGACGGCCGCCTTGGCTGACTCGTGGGCCTCGGCGCTGCGGGCGAGGACGGGGTCCGCTCGTTTTGCGTTCGAGAGCTTGGTCGAAAGAATCTTGGACATGGATGTGGAGAAGGCAGAGGGATCATTACGTTTGGACTTGGTCTTCTGAGGCGCGCCTTCATGGTCGTCGGCGCTTTCTTCTTCCGAGTCCGAATCCGAGTCGGTGCCCACGGGGGCATCTCTGCTCTTTTTCGCCTTGGGGGCAGGTTTTGTCGTCTTCCTGGGCGTGGGACGCTCGTCTGCCGAGCTCGCTGAATCATTGTCGTCGGAGACCGCGCCGTCGTCGACGTTCGCGTTAAGAATGTCATCGTCATCCGAGTCGAGGAGGTTTACCGCATCGAAACTTTGCTCTTCGTCCGAGGCGGGCTCTGCTTGCTTCTTGTCTTGACGCTTCTGTTTCTTGGACGGCGGCGCAAGCCGGCCGTCATTTGTCCTCTTCTTTGTTTCGGTACCGGCCATGGTTGTGGGTTTTCTGGCGAGGCAATTGGTGTGTTGGTCTAACGGCGTCGACTTTGGGAGGATGAATGTAGACTGGAAAAAGTTCCTTGGCCACTTGCGAAGGTCAAATTTTTGGGTTCAGCTGGTGGGGCCGCTTTCCTTATCAGCGGTGTACTCACCGAGATAAGCTGGCCTTCACCGAGACAGCTCCCCACATCAACCTAGTCTTTGCTGGGGGGTGAATTCTTTCTCACATGTCACGAATAGACGGTGGCTGAGTAAGTCATCGGAGCAAAGAACCTAGCGCCGCTTGACTCGTTCAAAAATTCATAAAACAACTGTATTTTTCGTAAACTCCAGGGATGCTTCTGGACAAACCTTACCCCTGCTGGCAGTGAGTACTGCTGGAATGCTGTACTGACCAATCAGAACCAGATAATAGCGACCGTTCTCTTTGCTTTCGCAAATCATTTCAAGCTTACTTCAAGAGGTCAATGCCATATGTCTCGGCCTGATGTTCCCCGATTCTTAACCTAGAAGCCTTGCAGTTCGCAAGATGAAACCGGCGTCCCAAGTCATTGACGTCGTCTTGTTTTGACACTTTCCGTTCGGCCAGTCGGCCATGTGTCCAAATCTCTGCGAAGCCCAGCCAACCCAGAACAGCCCTACGGAACGAAGGCTGCATAGGCATTCATAACCCTTCGAAATGGGCCACAATAGCACGTTGAGCTTCGGAAAGAACTACGCTTTGAAACTCACTGTCACAGTTATTGCAAATCTTGCAGCGCACGTCGTCTGAACAATGATTCAACTGACCAGATTTTGGGCTTTGGCTATGTGACCCTGCCTTCCCATATCAAGAACCAGGCATGAGGCAAGATCACCAACAAAGGACATCGCAACGCATTGCTGGGGCTTTTCCATGGAACCTCGGACAGCAGCGGAAAGGCTGCACTGACCGACAAGTCCGTCTCGGTGGCCGCTGTGGGTGCGCTGTGACCTTTTGAAGGCTGTGATCATCAGTTAAACCCCTTGTCAATTACAGCATTATGGGTTAATAGGAAGGCTTCGAGGCTTTGTAGGCGGCTAGGTCGGAGAAATGGGTGATCATTCATGGCCATTAGGTCTGTGCGCCACTATTGCATCGATAGAATCGGCTTCAAGGAGTTAAACGTACACCATGCTGCCTAACGGAGCATTCGTGTAGCGATATAGAAGGAGTATAGTAATTCCGGCTAGAGAGCTGTTGATTTATGGCTGAAGCTTCTAGTGTTTAGACGATAGAAAGTAGGCTGGCCGCTTTATTCGAAGATCACCACTACGAGCAATCGGTCGAAACTCCCGTCTATTGACCCAACTGATCCCGGGAACATTACTTTCCAGATTAACTTTTGCGTACTCGACGAACGGTGACCCGCGGATCTTCAATTCATCATCTCGTCTGTAAGGGGCGACAATTTCTTGGCTTCTACTAAGCGGCGACTGAGGAGTGCGAAATGACTGCGCGAGAGTCTATGCTTCAAGGAGTTACAGCCGAATTTTTACCTCGTAGTAATCATTGACATCGTTCGGCAAACCGATAACATGAAGAATCCATAACAGACTGCAATAGCAGAACTGTCACGTTGCTCATGGACACATGCCATTGTTTTGATTAGTAGCGTCAAGATGGTAATCCGACCCTTCTGTTGCAATTGATTGAATTGACGGTGAATTTGTACATCGTGGCGTCTGTAGATATCGAGGTCTCATATTTTAGTAACTGTTCACTTTGAAGAGTTTCTCTTCTATCATGATATCAACGGTACGGCCAGTGAACGTGAAATATATCCAGGTTTTCGCTACAACAATAAACCAAAGATCCTTCCCAGCCGTGCTATCATTCTCGTACTCGCGCAGCAGCAGTGGAGCAAATCAAGAAACCGACTTGGGAGGCGCTAGCTTTAGGCAACCGAAAGTTGGTTAAGCTGGGAATCGTAAGGCTTCCGGAGAAAGCAGTTTTCGCCTGGAAGCATTAGGGGTATATCCCTGCTTTAGCACGTAAGCACGCGCCGGTCAATGACCAGCTGTGGGGCCGGAACCCGGATTGAATTGGTCTCGGCATCACGAATTTACCCAGCCCGCCGAAGTTCCACCAAGCAACGAAAGCTTAGCTGATGAGCTAATCCAGGAATGTGGGGGGGAGGGACTTACAATCGTCCGTCTCCCAATCATTGCGCTTTTCGAATGAACGTCGTCTTGAGGCATTGTCCCTCTCATGTCTCAACCTTTTTTCTGTGTCATCTATTCTTGATTTTGCAGCGCAGACGGCATCTTCCGCACGGTCGCGCAAATACTCGTTACAATTAGGGGATGTGTAACCCTATTACCTATGGGTAACTATGCGGTTTGACTTCGTCCGATTCCTTGGAACTTGGCAGCGGCAAGTGGACATTTCCTATTTCTCTACTGACCATTGAACTGGCTAGTTTCGGATTTTACAGACTTACGGACTCGGAAAATGACCGACTAAACTTGAGCAAAACGCTCCCCGCCCAGGTGGGCCTAGCATCCGGCGACGCACTTCAGACGCAGCCCCGAAGTCTCCTAGTCCTACGCCTTGATGCTTTCGTCTGCATTCAATCCCATCTTCCCATCGGCCTTCATATGCCTCTGAATCTCTCGCGCGCGCTTCACACCGAACCCGTAGTTGAACACCTCGCGGATGTCTTCCAGAGTCATGTTCTTGACCTCGGGGTAGCAGAAGTAGATGGAAACCCAATCGAGCACACAGATGGCGGCATAGAATCCAAACACGCCCGAGGGCGTGGTGTTCTCCATCTGCGTCAGGAAAGTCGATGCGACAATGATGTTCGATCCCCAGCAGCTCATGGTGAGCATCATGGTGCCCATAGCGCGCACTTCCATCGGGAAGAACTCACTGCTGAGCCAGGCCGTGTTTCCAATGCCCGACGAATAGAATCCCACGAAGAATACCATACTTGCGAGTACGATGATGGCAGGAGGTCCAACCGTAGCACCGTCTCCAAGTGATAGGTCGTGGTTGATTAGAATCCATTTGAACGCGACGGCTGCGACGACGAGGAAGGCACCCATAAACTGGACCGTGCAGAGGAGGATCCTCCGGCGGCCAGCCCTGTTAACCAGCAACAAGTTGACAAGCGTAAAGATAAAGTTGGTCCCGGCAATGATAGTTCCGACGGCTACAGGGTTGTTGAAACCGACAAGGGAGAATACGAGTGGCGAGTAATTCATCAGCGAGTTGAAGCCTGACAGCTGGGAGATGGCCATGAGACCGCAAGCCGAGATCAAGGCGCGGAGGTTTGCGGGCACAATGTAGAGCTGCTTTAGCACCCACCACTGCGACTTCCCCGCATTCATGTCCTTCGAATCCTCGACGTGGATCGTGATATGCCTAACCTTCATCCGGACCTGCTCATCCGTCCCGTTGGGGAAGATTTTTCGGATAACCTTCTCGGCTTCTTGCGACTTCCCGTGAAAGATGAGCTGCCTTGGCAACTCGGGGCAGAAAGGCAGCATGGAGGCAAGGATGATGGCTGGGATCGCACTACCCCCTACCATAAACCGCCACGCACCCGGGACGTGTGCGAATCCGGCGCCTACGCCATAGCTGAGTAGTTGACCGCCCGTTATGCACATATTCTCGAGGCCGATTATGCGGCCGCGATGTCTTGCTGGGGATAGTTCGGTAATGTACCTGTCATAATAGCATTGGTCAATTTTGTGGTCGCCATGTGTATACCATTAAACAACGTACATGGGAATAATCATGGCAGCGGAACCAACGCCCAAGCCAACAATCAGACGGCCCATAGTCATCAACGCCAAGGAGAAAGACGCGGCTTGCGGAATGGCGCCGGCCGTGAACATGAAGCATCCAATGTAGATGGCAATCTTGCGGCCGAAGCGATATGCCTTGGCTACGGCGAAGATTGCAACGATGAATGCCCCACCAGAGTTAATGGAGGTTATGAGCTCTCGCTCGGATGAGGTTAGCGTGTGGCCAAGGTCTTGGTGGATATAAACCAGAATAGCCGAGATAATTCCAGTATCGTAACCAAAGAGCATACCGCCGATGGCTGCTGTATTGGACACTATCCAGGAGAAGTTGCTAGTCTTGGTCTGTTCGATGGAATTTTACTCATTCAGACTTACTTGAGCCTCGAAGGAGTCATCCTCAGTGGTAGTTTTCTTGTATTGAGCCGCATCTTTGGGGTCTTTTGCTGGCAGCATGGCAGACTGGAGCTGACTATAGCTAGCGCGAGCTAATCAAGAGCTTTAAGGGCGAGCGCAAAAGGAGGACAATTGAAAAAGATAATATGGATGCTGAGAGGTGTCGGATACTTGAGATGACAGCCTTCGGTGAGTAACTGGTGTTGATGAAGACCTGGGGAATGTCTGGGGTAGAACGAGGGTTTATATCATCATTTGAGATTGAGAACATGGGCTGAAAGTAATGCTGCAATGGCGACATTGCAGACTGCATAGCCCATCCGTAGCACGCTTCCGTTGACAACCCGATGGACTAGTAACTTGGGCTCAAGCTTTCTGCAATATGTATTTGACCATACCCTGACTTGACAAAGTTGATGGGTAAGTTGGGAGGTGGAAGCTCGAGATGATCCCAAGAGCCAATGGCAACACAGTCAATACACGAGACTAGCGTTCATCGGCAGTTACCAAGAAATGAGTCTAGACAAGCCAAGTCAGCCAAGTCAGCCAAGTCAGCCAACATCCCCCAGATTTCCCCAGACTTCGATAATTACCTAGAACTGATCGAATTCCACGGAACACTTGTCCTTCTCGGGAGCTCAATGTAGTGCAATGTGAGTGAAGGCAGCCCTGGGGTAGGCGTAGAAATCAAGTCGCCACGAGGTCTAGTCTGGCGCTGGTGGAGTTTAGCGGTGTATGCATGGCGTGCGGGGGGGAAAGTTGCCGCTTCAGACTAAAATAGGCAACTTTTTCTTATTTCCTTCGCGTTTCCTATTTGACACCCTTTCATCCACCCGTCTCCCTGGCTTTTTTCCCCCCTACTCGAACCAGCGACTTTCCCGCTTTAGCCAAGCTACCCATATACCAACCAGCCAGTTTGCAACTTGCCAGAATCTTGATGGGAGAGGAAATTGCTTGCAGTGCCTACCAACCACGCACTCACAGCCATCCCCACCGCAAATCACCTCTCACACACATATACGCGCACACACAACTGTCTCGTCTCCCCCCATGAAGTCCACATCGCCGCCTGGTAAATCTCTGCCCGTCAACTTGTATTATACGTCACTGTTTACACAGCACTACAACGGAATATACGCTCGATGCTGGATACACCCAGCACTCGGCGGGTCCAAAATATGAGCCGAATCCAAGCCCGGACGAATCCATGTAATGTGAGTATTTTAAAATCTGACATTCCTTTCCTTTTTCTTTTCCTTCAGCCCTCCATAGAAAATATCTGCGTAGCGTGGGACATGCGTATTGCCCGATGGAGCCAATTGAGGTTCATTACGCCGTCGACTTCTGTTTGCTAACATGCATCTCCTGTAGATCTGCAGGTTGAGGTAAGTGTCTGCCCAGTGGTATGCAGCTCGTACCATACACCCGGTGGGATGGAACCATCCCCGTATCCACGCCCTATGTTCGTGGCCCCGGGGCTGCCTCTCCGACTCCAACCCTTACATATTTACGCTATCATGAACAAGTGTCTAACAGTATGATTGGGTCCGCGCACTAGGCATCTCAAATGTAAGCACTGCTTCGATGCCAAACTTGACGTGTCTACTCTGGGGCCTGACAGCCGAAATGCCCAGCAGCCCCTAGCGCCCTTTCACCAAACTCGGCGATTATTGCCATGACTGTCATCCTCGTTACTGATTTAGAATAGGTGATTCAAACAAGTTAACTTGTTCCAACTGTCGAAAGTCGGGAGTCGAGTGTACCCGTGGCTACAGTGTCCGCTTCAGACATACGCTAAATCCCAGGTTTGTAGACGCCATCCACAGTTCTCAGATAACATTCCCGAGGGACCAAGAAACTAAAGTATCTATTTGCTACTAGTGTTCAGCCGGAAAGAGGCACCGGAGCAGCCCGCAGCGAGTACACCTTTTCCAACCACCAGCCCTGGGTACGGACCACGAATCGATCTTTCAGCTTTGTCGACGAGACAGAAGACATCGTCAACATTCATGCCTCTGTCAGCGGAGGACCCGCTAACTACGATGGCTCCGTCAACACCTATCTAGGAGCTCCGCGGCAGCCTGCCAGCCCATCTGATCACCCGGCACTGCTTTCCGCCGCTTCTTCCCCGATTCGGGATTTGACATCTCGGCCTATGGGTCTCAAGCCGCGGGCATCATACGACGCCATCTCCAGCCATGGCAAGAGCAGAAGAAGTCAAAGACATTTACGACCGCGACGAGACACGAATTCCACGACTTCCGAAGTCATACAGCGTTCACCAGGAGCACTTAATCACGATGAAACACCTGGCTCGAGCGCTTATACCGGTGCCTCAATCCCATGGGACCAACTTGACCTTGGAACTAATATCACCCTTGACTTTCCCAACATTCATCTCGCTCTCGAAGCCATAGATCCGCAGCTTGACGATACATTTACCCCTGACGATCGAACCTACGTCGAAAGCCCTCTCTGGCCTTTACGAGACAGACAAGAAGCTTTCCTGTATCGATATTTTGTGGATAGTCTTGCCCCTCTGTTCGACATGTGTGACAGCGAAAGACACTTTGCCAAAGTCGTTCCCAAGAGGGCGGTGTATTGTCCTACGTTGTTGAATGCGATGTTCTCGGCCTCCGCAAAACGGCTGAGTAGGACATTAGGTGTCAACGGGGTTGTTGCTGACCGATACCACCAGAAATGCCTTCGCTCGTTGATCCCGGCACTGTCGTCATCAACGGCCGTGGTAGACGATAATCTGTTAGCAGCTGTCGTCATCCTTCGCTTTACTGAAGAAGTGGATATTGGATCCATGAACCTTGAGTCCCACCTGATGGGCACGCGAATCCTCCTAGCCGCTCAAGAGAACGCCGCCGATTTCAGCAGCCTACGCCTCTCTGCCTTCTGGCTTGCGCTAAGACAGGAGATATACATGGCTTTCGTGCACAGTCGACAGGTTCATCCCAACTTTTTCCCTAGTATCAGAAAGATCTTAGACCTCGGCGACAATGACGAGAACGGGGTGGACTGTTCCTACGCGAATCGCGTCATCGCGATTTGCGCGATGTGCCTCAGTTACTGCTACGGCCAGGAGAATCATCACGAAAGAAGCTATGCACAGCTCAAGGAGGACCTAGATGTTTGGTGGAAAGAGAAACCATGGTATTTTGAGGCGATGTGGACGAATCCGAAGCCTGGTTTTCTGCCAGAGGAACACTACATCACCGACGCTGCCGTGACTGGCTTGCAGAATTATCACCTTTCTCGGATGCTGTTAATCGCACATAATCCGAAGATCCCGAGACTAGGATCCGCGTTCAGAGCAATCGAGGACGAGCTGAAACAGACTGTGCGAATCATTGTCGGTCTTGCAGAGGTAAACCATTGTTATTGAGCGTCGGCTATCTAAGAAGCTAGGCTAACTATTCTTGATTTCTCTCATAGGCGAACGAGCGAACGGCCCCTGCTTATGTGTAAGTGGCTTGATTTATTGGGCATGGTAACAGTGTCGCAAGCTATGAACTAATCTGTGTCTCCCTAGCAATGCCTGCCTGGCTATAGCAATGGCGGGGGATCGGTTTACGGATCGAAAAGAACAGGAGGAGCTCTACAGTATCCTCGTGAAGACTGACAGACGGCTAGGGTGGCCGACTCATGCAGCGTAAGCATAACTTCCGTTGTGCCCGTTCCATGGTTCTCAAACTGAAGAATAATTACTAGACAAGCTCAACTGAAAGAAGCATGGGGCTGGGAAGATTCTCCTTCCCCGCCTAGGATGCCCATTGCAGGCATGTTGAACGCCCGCTTACAAGCTGGAGCGGCAGGCTGATGCATTGATATGTAGCACGGCTTGCTTGATTGCTTACCGGGAATATCTTTTTCGTAGTCATGACTTCGAAGGTTCATATCCGTACTTCACTTTTGACGCCACACATGTATACCCAGTACTAAATAAAGACAGTGAGCACGAAGATATTGGTCGATCCGCTCACGACCCGAAACACATTCCGATTCAATGGGCTTGTCGACCTGAGCCTAGACACAATAATAACAAAGACTTATAAGAGTGCTTCAATCAACTTGAATTCTCATCGCCATACCTTGAATGGCATCGCGATCGGCATGCACTTCATGGCCTTCTGCCTCTCTGGTTCCCAGGGCAGAGCAAAATCGCACTGATACAAAACACTAGCCAGTAATACCTTTTGCTCAAGGTAAGTGATGTTTCTCCCAATACATCCCATTGCGCCGGCACTGGAGCTGACAAAGTACAGTTTCAGGCTCTTCCTTCTCTCGCCCAACTAGCGCCCTGGGATATAAGACTCGGAATCTGGGAATATCATGGGTCTCTGTGCACGACATGTCCGAGATAGAGACTGTGGTGTCTCCGGGGATGAAGTCTCCAAGTATGTAGGCCCCTTCGGTAGGGTTCCTTTTAGAAGGTCGAAGAATTTTGATGGCACTATTTCGAGGGACTCTTTAAGACACGCCCGAAGATAGGTCAAATGCCTGAATTTGTCGTACGGAGCCATGACTTCACAGGGCTCCTTGACTGCGTCGACTTCATCCCGCAACTTGGCCATACACATTGGGTTCTTCAATAACCAGTACACGACGTTGTGAATAGCAATTGCCGTCGTGTCATACCCAACATTCATCATGGTCAATATCTTGGCAGCGACGCCCCCTCCCCCAACTTGAGGTCACAAGGTGCGCCATTTTTGACTTCCATCAGAGTTTGGAAGAAGTCATCCAACCTCTCGCCAGCCTGATATCGCTCTGGACGCTAGGTCGCACGGTGGTAGATGATGTTGTTCCAGCCTTCATTGAGTTCTCACGAACGCCGAAACGTTGGCGATGTCACAGTGGTGAAACGCCCATTGAAGTTGTATCGCATAGATCTAGTGATTCCAACAGTAATATCTTACTGAGATGTGCTTTGTCAACAGCCTTCCACAAGCTAGAAATTCTTCCCTTTTCTTTTTCCAAACTCGAACTGTTAACCTGGCTTAACCCAACATTAGACCTATTAGTGTGGTGTGCAGGTCGTGTTAGTCTGTTTCTAAAATATCCCTGTAGGCCTGTTGGCTCCACATCGACGGCCCTAGCGACGACATGGTCGCAGCCGCGAATGGCCCATCCTTGGCTAGGTGCTCTTAATGACCGATCAAGGGCCAAAGCCTAGATATGCCGAAATCAAATCAACCAAGTCAAGAGAGGCCAGATAGTTGCTTAGGCAGGCCATGGTAATAACCTTGTTTTCTTGAATTACTTGCTATTCGCGTTATTAGAGTTCCCTTACATCCTCGACTAAATCAAAAATCATTTCCACGTAGCTAGCTCTGCGCACGGTTTGACACGCACAGACGCAGACGCACACAAACAAAAAATATAAGACACATTCTCAACTCAAGCTTAACTCCTCCACCAGATGACGGAAGACGCATAGTAAACAGCACCAGCCAAAAGGAAGCAACACATTGAAAACAGCGACAGCGCCGCAACGCTTTCTTGTCCTCCCGCAGCGATGCCTCTCGGCAAGCAGCTGGAGAAATCAACGATGCAGGTGAGAGAGAGGTGCTGTGTACTGGAATGTCATCCTAGTGGTAAAGAAGAACATCGAGGTCTGCGGCGGCGATAGAGTAGCAGCATTGTTCACCACTCTAACGTTTGTCAGCTCCCAGTCCAACAGACGGCAGTTTCTCTCAACCCGGCCGGGCTAGCTACCTCTAAGGGACTAAAGGTCTTGGAGCGGGAGACGGAGAGGTGGTGCCACTAGTTGTTGTGGTCGCAGTACTCGTCGTGGTAGAAGATTGGTGCTGTTATTCGAAGACGTAGTAGGGGAAGGGGTGGTGGTAGTGGAATCGGTAGTGGAAGGGGGGGTTGTAGTGGAAGGGGGGTTGTAGTGGAAGGGGGGGTTGTAGTGGAAGAGGGAGTTGTAGTGGAAGGGGTGGGAGTTGTCGAAGTGCTTGTGGAAGAGCCGGACGTGGTTCTTGTGGAAGAGCCAGACGATGTACTATTTGAGAAGCCAGACAACGTAGTAGTGAAGGAGCCAGATGATGAACTAGTAAACAAGCCAGACGACGTAGTGGTAGAAGAGCCAGGTAATGTACTACCAGAGGAGCCGGACGTAGTTCTTGTGGAAGAGCCAGATGATGTACTAGTAGACAAGCCGGACGTAGTTCTTGTGGAAGAGCCTGATGTAGTGTCACTGGAGGAGCTAGTTGACGTGGGCAAGCCAGAAGTCGTGGGCAAACGGGATGACGTGGAAGTGGATGAGGACGTCGTTATCGGACCCGTGGGAAGCGTGCCACCAACAATCTGGCCGTTGACGCACTGCTCGGCTGTTGGGGTTGGACATGACACATTAGCGACATTGTCTCGCGGGTCTCACAGAACCATTCCTGCTCCAGCGGGGGCTAGTGCGGAACTTACATCCATAGGCGTATAGCAGGACAGTCTGGCAGCCAGCGGGCCTCCCGTTAAAGGTGATGAAGACCTGGCCGGTGGGGTCCTGACAGAAGGTGGCCTGGCCGCCGGGGATACCCGAGTTAATGAAGCGGAGAACGCCGCCGACGTTGACGAAGGTTTTGGTGAAGGCAGTGCTAGGGGCGACGCCGGCGTTGCGGAGCGGCTTGAAGGTCTCGCCCGGATTGTAGAAGATGGGGTTGCCGGCGTCGAGGAGCTGGTCTTGGAAGAAGTAGAAGACTGTAGCGGCGTTGCAGCTCTCACGGTTGATGCCGACGTCGTGGTTTACGAAACCACCGAGATCTCGCTTCTGGAGGTCTCGCTTGGCGCCGCCGACCTGGGGGGAGACGAAGAAGATGACGGGTCGGGCTACGGGGGCGGTGGTGGAGACGCTAGAGGTGGTGGAAGAGGCCGCGGAGAGTGAAATGCTCGTCGCGGTGGTCACGCTGGGGATCGTCGAGATCGTGCTGCCCGGGATGGTGACGGTGGTGCCTCCAATCACGGTCACGGTGGCGCCGGGGATCGAGACTGTGCCGCCAGGGATGGTGACGGTGGTGCCTCCGATCACAGTCACGGTGGAGCCGGGGGGCTGGACGCCTGTCGGTAGAGGACCCAGCTCGAGAAAAGTCGAAAGGTAAGTGAAGCAGTACGTCGTCGGCAGGCCGTTGGCGAGTTTGTCCGGCTGGAGGGCAAACGCATCGCCGAGGCAGGCGAGGAGGCCGAGAAGGAATAGCCGTTTGTTCATGGTATGAAGAGTGAGTCGCAGTGAGTTCAGAGAGTGAATAAAAAGATGAAGAGGAATTAGGTGAAAATCTAAATGATTGAAAGAGCGAGTGAATCCTGAACGAGTGTGGAAGAGCGTGATGATGGGTGCTTCTCTCTTCTAGGTCCAAGAAGCGGTGGCCCAATGGGATAGAAATACAGAATCAGCAATAGGGACGAAAGAAGCTTGTGGACAGCACATGCCACTCGGTTCATCCTTCTCTACACTTCTCAGAGACACAGGGACACTTGAATACGCCGAGAGCAATAACAACTGTCATCAGGAATCCGCGGGCATTGCTGTGAGATGGCGAGCCATGCTCTAGACACCTAGTGTACCCTAAGCCATTGGGCCAAGTTTCACCAGGGGCGATATAAGAATGTATAATTATTTCAGTAGAGATAAGACTATAGTTAAAATCACTTCTCGCAACAATTACTGCTACCATGAGCAATAGTTGAATATTAAATCACAAGCTGCCTGCCTAGGTCATGCTCCTTATCACAATCCCCAGGAGCAGAGTCTTTGATGGCGAAACGCATACTTAGAATCTTGAACTGATATCAGAAATAAAGCTATGGGTAGCATGTATTGGCGCCTTCCATAATAAGCCGGTTGGGGTTTTCAGCTAGATCTCATCCCTATAAGCTGAGCCAGAATTCCCAAAGAACCTCTCCCTACCGACTGAAAATACCTGGCAACGCGCTCTGGTTCTACGTCTCAGCCAGCCACAGGATCGATGAGAAAACGTATATTTGCTTCAGCTGAGTAGAAATTAGAATTCCGGTCTTTCTCTAAATCACAACTGTCGGCGTCAACGTTGGTCATTGAGCAAATTACAAGATACTTCCCTACGCATCGCTCTTCGGAAGAGCTCTTGGGAATGAAGTTTTGGACGGCGACACGCATACTCGGAATCTCGAGCACAGATGGGATCCAACGCCCCAAATAAACGTAGAAGACCCCTTGTTGAGCAAGGGACCTGACTTTGAGCTGGAAGTCGTGCAGTCGGGCTGAGCCAAGATTCCCGAGGAGCCTCTCCCTGTGAATCAGCAATCCTTGGCACCACGCTCTGGATCTCACCTCTCAGCCAGCCACAAGAACTTCCGTCATCTCAAGGGCTTTTGCTTATCTGTTTGTCACTCTCTGAACACTCATTCTACATGCCTCAATAGGCTCGTCACATATGTATTTGTTGACCTGCTTCAAAATGGGATCTGCCCCAAGTCCTGAATTTGTATTTATCTCATCATAGTTCCGGTGCATCCCCCTTCCTACACAACTTCTCACACTCTCTACATAGTGGCAACTTCCTAGGCTCTCATGCTCATTACGCATTATCCTCTCGTTTTCGCCACACTCCTTTGTAGGAATCATTCCATCTAAAAGCCTTCTTTCCCATTTCACACTACTCCCTCTGCTCTCTCAAACTGCTTTAGCAAATCTCCAATCCTTGCCACCTCTCCAGTCGTTACCAGCAACCAAAATCTTAACCATGCGTCAATCCTCTATCCTCCTGGCGGCTGTTCTCGCCTTGAACTCCGCCGCCACGGCCCAGCAGGTCATCCTCGCAGTCCGCACCTCTACCGTGACCCAGTGCTTCACTGCCATCGGCGCGCCCACAATCTGCGCCGGCTGCGCCCCGTCTCCGACCATTCACCCGCCTGTTGTCACCGGTGGGCCCATCCGCATCGAGATCGAGGCCCCGAGTGCAAGCGCTGCGGCTGCAACACCTGCACCCAGACCATCAAGTACACCACTGAGTACGACGCCTTCTGCTCCACTGGCATCACCAGGCAGAAGTACGAATGCACCGAGACTTACAAGGGCGTGGCGGCCAAGCCCACCATTCCCTCCGTCGAGGTGCCCCTCGGCTTCACCAAGGGGGTCGAGACCTGCTACACCTGCGGCCCGACTCCCATCTCCGCCACTATCACCCGTCCTATCACCGAGCCTCAGGGCACTCCCGTCAAGGGTCCTGGCGGTGGTACTGGCCCCATGCCTGGTTCCGCTCCTACTTCCGCCCCAGGATTGGGCCCCGGCTCCAGTCCTGGTGCTGGCTCTGCCCCCAGCCCCGGTTCTGGCTCTGCTCCGGGCGCTGGCTCTGCTCCGGGTGCTGGCTCAATCCCAGGATCGAACGCTCCCGCTGGTAAGCACATCCCCGCAAATGGATATCTTACTTAGGATTTAGCAGTACTAACAAAAAAACTCCTCGCGTAGCTTCAAAGCCTGCAGTGACCGCCGACTCCCGATCCATTGCACCCCTCGCCGTCGGCCACGCCGCCCTCTTCTTTTTGGCCTTCGTCATGACTGCTTTTATACTTTGAATGGGGTTTGATCAAGGACAGAGTGTGCTTGCCATTAGTATCTTTGTCGTCTCCAGAACTGGAGAACGCAGAGATATGTGTGCATGTGTGCGCCTATTGGTGTGTTGGGTCAAAGAGAAACTTATGATTCTGGTGAATAATTATGGGAGAGTTCGCCGCTTAATTCTGATGCAGGAGATTTGCTTAATGTCTAGTTGATGATCGCTACATGATTGGTCGCATCGCACAGCAAACTCAATGAATGTCTCTTCAGCGTTCCTGGGTCTTCCAGCACACTTTTATTTTGGGATATTGCATGCATATTTGTGCTGGGACTGGCTTCACCAATGGCCCTTACCCAAAAGTGCGGCCTGTAGTGCTGTTATCGCAGGGTCATTAAAACAGTTCAAAGTTCGCACGGTGGACTTACACTACATCGGACCCTTACCGGCGGGGCCGTTAATGAACGCCAGCCGAGGATAGAGTGTAAGTGAGGATCAGGTTGTGGTGACTCGGCAGCCAAGTTCCACTTTTACTAACCCCAACTGGGAAAGGGGGTGCCAGCTAACCAGTCTAAAGAAAATCAATCAGAATCAACTCCGAGACACGATCTCTACAAAATCCTAAACAGATCTGAAATAAAAAATAAAAAGAACTAACCTTAAGTATTATACCAAAGTCTAAAGCTGGCTGGAATCTAAACCTGAACTTTAACCATCGCCTTAATTCTAACGGGTCGCCTAGAAATTGTGCCTGCTTTCACGTTGGTTTAGATTTATTTCAGAATTGAATCTGCACCCCCCATTGTTTTTTGAAACAGGATGTGATCAACTAACCCCCGTCCAATGGTCAGGTTAACATCAACCTTCGCGGGCCGCTGACAAGGCGGCCAGATCCTTCGCACCATACTTATTACAAACCTGAGCCTGAAATATTTGTTCTGCCTCCAGTGCTCGACTTCGACTTTTGCAGGTGATCGAGAAACCGCCATCATTCCATCTGTGTAAACAAGTTTTCCCCTCATGACAGAAAGTCTTCTATTCAGTCATTGCGGCCTTTGTAGGCTGCCAGACTAGCTGGAAACGTCTCTTTTCCGACGCAAAATCGTTCGCTTAGGTCCGCCTGCTGTACTAACCGATAAAGGTATCCCAGTCACCTATTGGTACCACTGATCTCTTGACGCTGTCCTCAACGTTATGTGACGTTTCCGCCACAGACTATATGTCTTCTGGAGAGACTGCTCGATCGCCTAAATGGCTAGCGCAGGCTAGATGCAAGAGTGAGATTGGATGTAAATGCCTCAAACGAATCCCGAGGATTGTAGTGTCAAATTTCTATAACACATATTCTATAACATATTTGGCTGAGATCAAGAAATGAGGGACATACTAGGACAACCCTGCAGAGTACACGGAGCAGCAGCCGGTGATTCTCCATCATCACAAGCGACAAAACTACCTCAGCATAAGCAGCACCCGCTGGTTTTTCGTCTTCGCGGCAAATTTGAGACGCCAGCATTGTCATCATCCCCGTCATTGTCAATGTCAACCTCAAGCAATGCTGTTTCGGGGTTGTGGCCCATGGATGGTGAAACTAAGAGTGGTCTCGAACCCCCACAATGCGCCATCCAGGCAATTCAACCTGCTTTGAGGACTACCTCTGAAAAAAGACAAGCCTATGTTGGTTTGGTTTGCAAATCATCACGTTAAAGGACGCCACGCTGGTGTTGCTGGGCTTCTCTCATATCATGTGGGATGCCATGGGGCTCAAAGACCTGCCGGATGGGTGATCTATTACACCACAGTATCACCAGGATGAATTTACTCCATTAATTGGAGATGACCCACTCTCACAGTTAGAAAAGACAATATCGATAGCCACGGCAACAACAAGTTCAACAGAAACCTGCCCGTCCGAGCAGTACAAGCACGTCCACAGACAGATCGAGGTCCAAGATTAACACTGTGGCTTAGACAATCGAGTTGCTTAACTGACTCCAACCGCGAGACTGTCAATAATGAACATTAAATTTTCTCATCAACTCAAAATGAGTCACTCTTGATTGGAAGAAAGACATTTTTAGCTGTCCAAGCTAGCAAAGGACCCCAGTGCTAGCATTGGGATAGTTGCTGGCTTCTACTGATAAATGCCACGATTACACGGACAACTCAAAAGAACCTCATCCTAACGCAACAGTATGCTCAATTGAGAAACTAAATCAGTTCGAGGAGGAGACTTTTACTCAACTTGTTTATGACTTTGATTCACAAGCGTTTCCTCATATTCTTTGTTTTACCCTCGGAATGCACTCCTTGTCGAATTCATTTTCCTGTTCTCGAACACGCGACCTGGCAAACAATCTAGCCGACGCCTCGAAATGGTGTCAGACATCCAGCGTTATGCACAATTTCAGTCTTATATCAGAGCTTGTTCACGAAACAACGACAGCTGTTCTTCTGTGTATGACCTTTGGTAGTCACACAAGATTCTAGAAATCTGGACGAGATTTGATTTATGCTTTGGCTACCATTGTCTAGGACCATAGGGAGGGGGGAATACCTAAGATGTTTTGGACAAGAAACACCAAAGCTGTGACATAAGTAAACGAATACATTCGTGACCTCCCTGCTGGGATTTTCCATTTGAACTCTTTCATTTTGATTACTGAAAGAGAGGAGTATTAAAGCTTCGTCAAGTTCATCTTCGAGAATATGATAAGAAGCCTACGCCTTTGAGATAACCGCCCAGCTGGGATGAAAGCAATTCGACAAGCTGGTTCTAAGTACTTTAGTAGACTAATCACATTGCCTAGAGTTGAAAAAACTCATGCCGCCGTTAGAATCCAAAACCCAAGCAAGTTATTGCCACCGTATCTGTTGCATTTGACGAAAAATCCGCGTTTACCAAGGGAATCAACGAGCTAAGGAACAGAAGTCGGTAAATCTTTTTAGATCCCCTAGGTGACTTGCCATAAGAGATGGTAAAAGGAACCTGAGTCGAAAGTATATCGCCAATTAGCATATAGCGACAAACATGGCTCTATATCATCCAATATTAGAAGGGATAATTCTACTAGTCTTCCGACCAGCTGAAGTTCAAGGTAGGCTGGGAAACCCGCAGAATACTGTTACGGTCAGATATCCGACAGTGGTGTTTTCCTGCTAATAGATAGCTGAGTTCTATACTCGGTAACAGTAAGTCTGGTCTTGTTGGTAATATTGCTAGTCTGTTGGCGTCTGTTGATCAGTCAGGCGTCTCAAGGCGTAGGTAGCTCGTCTAGCTACATAACAAAAGGATAATCTAAGAGTCACTTATAGTAGAGTGAATCACGACGTTGATTACTAATGAGCTATAGAAGTCTGTCTTAGGGCTCGTCCAAGCCATCCTATATATAAGTATGTTCCTGATGCCTTTGTCCTGATCATACCAACTCATTGGTAGTGATCACTTACTTGGATTCGTTGATCGATCACCTGTATCCACTAATCGGTCAGTGGGTCCTGCAGAGTAATCGTCTTATCTTATCTGCGCGTAACCTGTACCATAGTTCTTCCTTTTCCGGGGAGTCATCTATTCGTCCTTGTATCTTGTCCATACAAATGCCGGGCTGCCCACGCTCTGCCCTGTCTTGGTTGGGCGTTATCGTTGGTAACTTGTTGGTTCGTAACAAATACGTCTAGCGCATGGCATAAGCCGCGGGAAACCCGATACCATCGAGACACTCTCCAAATTATCTAGGTAGGTTTAGCGTAGGGAATTGTTTCCTAATACGAAAGATGTTGCCTCCACGTCTCGGTGTGCTGTCTGAAGACAAATGTGGCGGTTCATGGGCTGTCGAGGGGGGAAATTTCTAATTGTTTAAGTGACACACCCCACCCGACATCCACGTTCCCACGTACCAAGATAGGTCTACTATGTAACATCAAGACTTTTCAATCCTGGACATCTCTCTGAGAGTGGAAACTTTCGCTGCCGGAAGAACACCCTGGAACTTAGGACACTCTCGGGTTCCTCAATCTACCAGCCTAAAGGTAGCTGCCAGAATTAGTCGGTTCAAACTATGCCGTTTCTGCTGTAAAAAGCCAAGTCTGCTCTCGCTAGAACCATAGGTTATATCCAGCTAATGGTTCTCGGACCCTGGTCTTCGACAGCGGTGGCTATCGGTTGTTGAAGTCCTTGCTCTAGCGTACATATAAGTCTTGCTTTATAGAACAGATTCTTCTTTCCATCGATTATCCATTTCAGCGACAGTCTCTACCGTTAGGTGCATATCTAACCGCTTTCAAAATACAGAGTCTCATGCTTGCAGGGTTCACTTCACGACTTAGATGGTCCTATAGCTTACAACAATCATAAATCGCTCAGAATCTTATTTAAGTGCGTTCGTCGCACAAAATTTTTATCCTGACTGCCGACTAGCCTTAGATGAACCGCCTTATTTCTGTTAATATTCCCCCTTTTTGCTTTTATCAACGTCATTTTAGTTGTCTTGGTTATCGCCCTGAGTACTGACGTGCTCATGTAAATTCTCGGATGGAAAAGCTGGAAGGTGATGAAGATCTGCAATATCCATCCCTTCTGAATGCCTATGGGAATCCTCAGCCTTTATTGCCGACTCCTTGGAAAGTGTTTGGTCTCTCGCTCTGGCAAGAACTCCAGTAGAGAAATGGCCGACACCTAAGTCTATCTGGCTGAGGCCCTGTAAAGAAGCAGCAGGACCAATATCATTGTCGACATCGGCTGACGCGATCTCGTACAGTTGACCACCACGCTGAACAGTGGTGTTCCCGATGGTTCGAACTCGGCCTCTGTTGCCGAACACTGAATCCACGCCACCATGTCTTCGGCGCCTGAATTTCCGACGGAAGTAGTCTCGGAAAGAAGGCATGCAAGAGCAGAAGATAAACCCATTCAACTCCACAAAGGACCAGTTGGATATGGGCACTATATCCCCTTGGTGAACTTCCCGATTAGTCCAATACTCATTGGCCTATATCGAAATCGCATTCACTTACAAGTTG